ACATCCATTATGCTTTTGATGAGGAACAAGCATTAACAACCACACCACGATCCAGCACAAAATTAAAACTTTAGCAGCAGTGTATCAGCTGCCAAAATGCCAAAAAAAAAAAAAAAAAAAAAAAAAAATCATGAGAATAGGATATTGAGTTATCATACCACCCAGCACAGGATTTTTACAAAATGAAAGAAGTTATGCACCACTGGGCTGATTGTTTGGGCAAGCGAAGAGGGAGTGCAAGGAAAATGAGCTTCAGTCTGTAGCTCAGGCACAGGCTAAATTGCTTGCTCTCATAAATTCAGCTATATTAAATCTAACTGCTAACTTAGATTCATGCACYGTTAGGCAAGTGCTGCACTGACCCCGTCAGAAGCCAGAACAGCAAATGCCMCAGGACACAACTGCTCGGACATTCTTTTTGTGCCATGAGTTGAGCTGCTGAGAGCAGAGTTTATTAGAAAAGCATCCAAACAAATCCAAGTCTTGTTTATCTTTCCAGCATGTTTTTCAGCTTCTGAGGGTAATCTAACCAAAAGCCAACATTCATCTAAATGCTAGATGAAATTATTAAATCTCTTATGTAAGACAGTGTTAGAAATACACTGCTTCCTTTGAAACCAGAGTGCACCAAAAGACTACCAAGAAAACAGTTTGGCTGTTTTTTTCTGACTTCAACAGTAAAAAAATATATATGACATAAGAATGGGAGTCCAAAACCCTCTGTAAATCCAGGATATTTGTAAATRTGTTTAAGAATTTGAGGGTCTTGGATTGAAATCTTGGGTGCTGCACATAGTGATACTAAAGAGCAAGGCAGAAAGGGTGGTGAGCTGAAGCACATCTTCACTCTGACCACTATTTTCAGTACATGTCATGCTGGCAGGTCAGGACCAGCAGAAGCTCAGCTGACACCTTCATTGTGCTGTCAGGAAGTGATGCTGCAGGAAATCTACAGGAAATCTCTTTGACACAAAAGGTATGCAGTTTTTAGTGAAATTTTTGAAAGACTTACAGGAACCAAAGGGCATATTTCTCCACAGAAGTACCAGAACATTTTTGGTACTTTCTCTTTTTGGGGTACCAAATCATCATGCCCTGTTGGCTGTATGATCGACAGACCTGGCACGAAGGAAAACTGCAGTAATACGTGCTTAGGACAATGAGGAGCAGTGCAAACTTTTTTTCTGAAAGTACTTATTAGATRTTACATCAAACCAAATAAAGGCAAAATCTTAGAAACAAACAAAAAACCTCACTACAGCAGTCTACAAAAAATACTTTGCAAATCAGAAATGGTTCAGCCATTGTCTAATAAATAAAATAAGGATGTAAAGGCCTAAAAGCAATGAGATCTACTTGGTGGAGAAAACCTCTGCTTGAATCCAGAAAAACAGTATCAGTTAAGTCGAGTTTTGCATAAAAATATATAATTATGTGCATGACATTTTCTGGTTATCGGAAAAAGAACTGCTAGGTTTATGGAAACTGTGGTTGCCACCGGTTGCACATTCCAGGGAACATTCTTGGTAAACCGCAGCTTCTGCTCAACTTACAGCAACATTGGAGAGACTGAAAGACTTTCAGAAAGCCACACATGGCAGCGTAACATGAGCCTGGAAAATAAAGACATACTTCACTTGTCTCACACAGACTTACAGAAAACAGCAATTGCAGGGAAAAAATGAAGAGAAGGAAGCTTGGAGGAAAAGCGAGCAGAAATAAAAAATGTTGTGTGTTAGTAAAAAAAAAAAAAAAAAAAAAAAAAAAAAAAAAAAAAAAAAAAAAAAAAAAAAAAAAAAAAAAAAAAAGAAGAAAAAGGTGACTTACTGGCTTGTTCAAAACCAGTTTCTGTTGACTTTAGGAGGCAGATTTCAAACTGCTGATAGAGGCTGGCTTATACCAAAAAATATGAATRCAGTCTCAGTGAGAGAAATGGTCACTGAATCAGCCTTACAGAGTTCAAGAAGCATTTGGACCGTGCTTTCAGGCATATGTTGTGACTTTTTGGGGATGGTCCTGTGCAGGGCTGGGAGTTAGACTTGATGATCCTTGTAGGTCCCTTCCAACTCAGTTTATGCTGTGAGTTTGTGAAAGTGCATCCAGAGAATAAGAAGAAGTATGAACAAAAGTATGTGGTTATTTCACAGCTCTGTAGAAGACGGACAATGCTTATCTGAAATAGAAGTTACACTTCAAGCTTTCATATATTAAGCTTTTTAGGAACATTTGGAGCCTCACTTGAGTTATATATTGTTGTATCTGCAGGATATGAGCACCTTAAGGTAGTCTGTGTGCAGACTGGAGTATTTGAGAGTAGTGTATTTTTGGAATGCTATTGATAAAACCTAGTTATTTCATCTTATCCCAAGTGGCCACTCTACTGCAAGCAGGCAAACCAAACAAATGAGTTAAAATAGGATTTTTTCCAAGGGGAAAATAAAACCAATCATGGATAACTAGCAGAAGGTAAATTGTTAATTATTAATTATGATTTTTTTCTTTTATTATTTCATTCATTTTATTTTATTTTTAAGGTACTGAAGGAGCTTTCATTCCGATAGAATGAAATTTACACCCTGCAGTTACAATACAAATGGATAAATTGACCAAAATCACAGTAGTCAATGCATATAAGTAACCAGTTAGTTCAAAACCAAAATAAAATTTTAAAACCTGCATATGCCTTATGAGGTAAACTGTAATYGATCATCTCCTTCATAACTGTATCTTAATTAGATTGTAAGAGCCTCAGGGATGGCATTAATTTTTTTATAAATTTAAAGGACCTGTCCTGCATAGTAAATAGACATTCAGCATAGTACTGTCACTTGTATTAGCAAGTGCTAATTACCATAATAAATGGAAGCCTTTTCTTGAATTCTGTTTTAGAACCTCACACGCCTGAAAAAAAACCCCAGAATGAATGATARGAATCTGGACATTTTTACTCCCACTGAAATCAGCCTCTGCAGACCGGAGCCTGTGTTCCTAAGAAATTACTGAGATGTCATCACAGAATAACAATACTCCTTTTTGCTTAGACATCCACTTTGTTTGAACACTGTCCCTTGACAAAAAAAAAAAAAAAAAAAAAAAAAAAGATTATTCTGACAGATCAGTATCACCAGACTGTTTTCAATTCTCAGCTAAGCCGGTATTCAGGGAGCTTGTGATTTACAAGGCCAGCACAAAGTTACCTTGATAGCCACAGGAACAAGGAACGAGACTTATGAAATGTAAGAGAGATGACAGTAAAGTGGAAAGACTCCCTCTTCTTCAGTGAACTGGACAGCAAGCAGGTTGTGGAGAGTAAAGTACAGATTCTTTGGTAGTTTCATTTCTTGCAACTTCCCCAAGAACAGCAAGKGTAGAGTGTTACAGTCTTGATTTCTTTGCAGCTGCAGTTGCATTTCTTTACATAATTTGTACTTTGGCACTAGAAAAAGATTATAAATGAAGTGTTGCTTTCAAAGTTTCAGACATCAAGATTTTTTTTTTTTTTATTATTATTATTCTGTTTGGCAAAGGTGGTTTTAATTTGACTTTCACAAGTGCAGAAACCTGTCCCCTCAGAAGTTGGTCAAACTATTAATTTTATGGCAAAGACAACAGAGTACAGTAAAACCTTTTCACAAAGCCAGACAGCTTAACCTAATTAAATGGCTGTTTTGACAGGTGGTTTAAAGTGGAATGCACACTATTGAGAATGGCTGCAGAGCCTTATATGATGAGTGTCTGTGTGCTTATGTGTGCAGGTGAAAATGTGACTGCGCAGGGGGTGACAATAGATCTGTGTTCATAAAGCATTTTTTTCTCCAAAAGCTGCAGCTGTTCAAGATTTATAGATTTATTTCAATTAATTGTGCTAGATATATTGACTCAGGTGAATGGTTACACCTGGACTATAGTAAAGGAAAGATGTTTATGGAGGTCTGTGATGTCATACATCAAGGCATAGGAGATGAACRTTTTACAAGGGGAAACGAGCCTTGTAGGAAATATATAAACATTGTCATAAGGGATCTGATTTCTGGTTCTGCTCAACATCACAAAAGAACTTTGCCTCAGTAAAATGGTGCATTTGTGGTAGGAAATAATGAGCATTCGGGTCTCCAAAAGTATGCTGAAAGGGCTCTGAATCCATCAGACGCTTAGCAGTTTGGACAGCAAGCCAGATTAGCAAGCTTGATCCTACACACAGAAGACCTCTCCTCATCCATCTCCTGCCTGCCTGAATTCCCAGGCCCTCCCTTCTGGAACTGCTACCTATGTGTGCAAGATTGGCATGCAGAGAGCTAGCCAGATGTAGCTGCAAAAACAGTGAGGGATTTTGCAGTTTAGGCCCCATGTAGTCTCCCTATGCAGTTCTGTTTAGTTCAGATAACACCCTTGTTATTTTACTTTTCTGAGTCAAGTCTTATGTAGTTTCAAAAAGTAATTTCATACTCTATTGTCCTCCAGTAGCAAGGAAGAAATGTTGCTATACTGTCCTCTGAATATTTTTAAGGAATAGTAACTATTTCTTTAAAGTCATGACAATTCATCTTTAGTATCAGAACAACCACACTGCAGCAAGGTAACCTGATAAAACCATGGTGTGATTTTAGCTGAGTTCACCTACTGACCTAAAAAAGGTGAAACTTTTACAACTCATCCCTGTGTCTTCGGAGATTTTGTGTGGATTTTGTGTGTTTTGTTTGCTTGCTTTATATAATGCTTGCAGCCCTGAGTTTGTGGAGTGCATACAGTACAATATATATTGCTTTAAGCTCCATTTTTTGATAGCTGCCTAGAAAGTCACTAATGATAGGTAATTATGAAGATAAGAAGGCTGCTTCAGGTTCACATTCAGTCTTCAGTACTCGGATATATCCAGACTCACTCTGCTGATATATCCTGCCTTCCCCATCTCATTCTTATCAACTGTGGCATCTATTGTGAAAGAGAAGAAATATTTAATCATCTGAACATCACTCTGGTAGGTCTATTGGTTATTTCTGTTTTCTTGTGTGAATGTTAAGGGACTGTACTGCAATGTGGCCTGAAGGATTTGAAGCATGGAGAGAATCTGCAGACCCAATCCTCTCTGGTGAGGGTTATCCACCCAGGTGATCTTGGGTCCATCTTCAGTGTTTCCTCTTCACATTTCATTTAGTTTTTGTCCCTTCTTCATATTTAATCGGKTTTCCCTATAAAGATTCACAAAATTTCTTCAGTTTACTCCCTCTTATAGAACACCTGAAACTATTTCACCCGGTGATGTCTGCCTACAAGAAACTTTAAAACTCTTGTTGACACTGAGTGAAAACCCCCCACCATGTTAATCAGTGGTCTGACAATTCCTTCATTCTTCTTGGCCTGAATGGATCTACTTGCTGTCTCTGTGGCTGGGTCTCTCATTCTGCTCTGAGATGTGCTTGGTCCTACGGGGTAACAATGAGCAGGTCTCTGAAGAACTCAAGGGACTGAGAGACCAATAAATTATGTTAATATGTGACTCCATTTTGCCCATGCAAAAAWGAGAATTATACAAGATCATTCAACAAGCATTCTGAAATGAACAGGAAGAAAAGAGTTAAATATCAAAGGGAAAATTTTTCATCTGGTCAATTGTAAAAATCCCATTTCAACCTTTCAGGTGTAATTCTTATGTATAGAAATCTTACTTATGCAATGTTTAATAAGCTAAACATGTTCTGATGAATGATTTCCAAAAAAGTAAACATGAAGTATAAGGAAGTTTATCAGGGCATTTTATTATAATAAGAGCAGTACCAGCTTATCTAAAACATTTCACTTAGAGACTAACGTTTCAGAGGCTCTGCAAACCACATGAAAGGAGCATGGGAAGCCAGGCTCCTGCCACTCAATCCCAGGGCTTTAGAAGTTCTGTCAGATAATGAGAGAATTACAGTGGTGGATATGGCTTGTGAACTTCCAACCAGCATCTGAGAATTATTCACCCATTTGTGAATTGCATGTTAAATGTCTTTTAAGTTATTACCAGATTGGTAATTAAAATGGGATAAAGTCCAACAAACCAGAAAAATATATTGTGTTCAAGCAGAGTAGAGACACGCTGATCAAAGGGAGACAGGAAGAAAAACAAACATATTAAGCAATGCATAGTAAAATCTCATATTGTAAAGGAAGGAGATTCTATATTTTAGTTATTTCTGATTTACATGTACATATAAAGCTACCTCATTTTTATAACCGCATCTGAGCATTTTGCTCTTCGTCTGACTAGCAATCATTTTGTTCCACCTTACACTGCCATTTGGCTTTCCTCCAAGACATTTCACCGGTTTTTCTCTGTGAAGATAAAAATCATTTATATTAAGAGGCAATGTTTCCATGTTCTTTTCATGATAGTGGGCAGCACCTATTTTTCACTCAGTGTTGTGAGACCTTTAATAATAGCATCAGAAGAAAATCCAAGTAGGACAATATGTTTAAGAATCTAAGTTTTACTGTGTCTTGATTGATGAAATAGATGAAACCACCAACAGGTTAAAAAGCCCAGACACTTGTTTTTGTCATACCTCAATCCAGGAAATGGTGTTGTCCACTTCAGGGGCCAGAGGAAACTTAATTTTGTTCAAACTTGACTAAGGTTCATGAGCAGCTTGATGTCCCAAAAGAATTTTTCTTGAGCAGACTGTGTGTTAGCTATGTACAGGGTCTTAGGAGTAATGAGTGATTAGGGGGAAGCAAAAGTTAAAACAGGAAGAGTGAATAAAAAGGGAGAAAGGACAGAGTTTTGAGCTCTTTCCAGCAGGGGTACAAATCAAGGTTACCAACAGGATCCACTGTTTTACTGCCAATGCTTGTGGAGTTTGCTGAAGAAATCCCAAATTATGAGAACTCTGCCAAGGAGTACTGAAAATTCAGATCCTATAGACTTTAAACAATAACAGGAAAATTTCAGGTCAATATGGACCTGGAATGTAATGCATTTAGTGACAAATTAATGCAGGAAAAAAGGTGTCTCCTTAATAATGTAAGCTGTCTTTTGTTTTCTGTGCCTTCAGGTTCCACTGGGAATGAAAATAAGAGGGTTTAGTGCAAAGGGAAAGGCTGGAATCCATTGGAATCTTGGCATAAAAGTAATGAAAAACAAATTTGAAATGGAGTGAAGCCAAGGCCAGGACTGCAGGTAAGAGGTCCAGAGAAAGGACATTCAGAGAGACAATACAAATGCCTGACCTTGGGCTACGTGCAACTTGCCCAGGAACTGGGCTGTAATCAAACAGAAATGCCATATTTTTTTGTCTGCAATTCACTCTAAAGGACAGAGGTACTACAGTTTTAAAGCAATCACTGGATGAGTCCCTTCAACCTTGTTTCAAGCATGTCCTTTCATGGCCAATCTAAAAGAGCTCTTACAAATTTGCCTCGGTTACACATTTTCTTCAAGGGAAGAGAAGAACCATGCTACACATGGTGTTTAACATGACTCTTTCTGGTTTTGATTTTATCTCTGTGAAACAGCTATGACTGCTCTATGGTTAAAAAGGGTCACAGGCTTGATTTTCTGCAAGCCATCTTTCAGTCAATCCATTTTGAAACCTGGTCTAAATCCAGCCTTTTGCAATATTTAGCATGCCCAATCACAGCTTCTCAGAATAATAAAAGAAAAATCAAGAAAAGAATTTTCAGTTGTTTGCATTTCATAAAAGGAACCTATTTTTATTATATTTAAAACAGAATAATCCTGACTTTTCTTCCTTGTTTAACTCCACCAATTAGTTTCCTTTTTAACTGTAGATTGGTGTTGTTGGCTTTGTAGAGGTTATAAAGAAATGCCTTTTCATATATACAGTGCAAGAGCTGAAAGAAAAAATCACCTCAGATATAATGGACCTGATTTTCTTTTACACAGTTCTGGCAGCATAAAAAAATCTTAGAATGGGCATAAGTTTTATTTAAAACACTTTAGGGTTCCTTTGTACTGCCAGAACCTGTAAAGGGGTCTTTATGTAAAGAAGAATCAAGGCCAATGTGTTTCAGGATTATGCTTCTTTGGGAACCTTTTCTATACCTCAGACCTCATATTTTGACATTTAAGGCTACTCACAGATTAAGTGTATGAGAGACTCTCACTCTGAATCAACAATAAGTGAAATCATTCATATACAGCTAACAGCTTATTTCCACTACAGTATAAAACAAGGGAAAAAAATTGAGCAAGTAGGTTTGAAATCTTCAAGACAGTAGGAAAAGGAGGAGATTAGTTTTTATAAAGATAATAATCACCAGTTTTGAATTTCTTAACACACAGGTACTAACAATGCTTCTGCCATTTCCCATACTWCTGCCATATTAATGTCTTCCATCAACACTTCCATGATGACAAGTGGAAAAAAAGATCAACGGAAAGAACTGAAAAGTTTTCCAAAACCCATAACTCTTTCTGGGAATAAGAGAAACTTCATAATAGCCCTGGAAAAAGAAGTATAATTTTCATGAAGCATTGAAGGACACAYGGTGAGCAACTATGATGACTGAAATTTATGAAGTAACTTTTCTTTATCACCTCATAATTCAAATTGCAAGATAGCCACATTAAGTCCTGAAGGTCTTTCTTCTGTTGTGAGGGACAAGGAATCTGTCGTATCTTTCTGATAAAATGCAATATTTATGCATTTTCACTTATTTGATTTTAACAACACCTGAAAATATCATTAATTATTTTCTCTATGGGCTTAATAATGCATATGTTTATTTTTATTAATGCTGACCTTTAAGGCATGMAATTAATTACATTTTTATATAGTTCTTTTCCCTGACACATCTCAGCAACAGAATGAGTGGGTGTGTTTCTCATGCAAAGCAACACTAATCTTCCCAGGAAGAGCTTTTATTTCACAATTGTTAAATGAATCATATTTAAAAGGCTGGTATAAAAACACATTAGCTTTTTCAAGGAATAATTTTATCATAAATTTGGAATAACTATGGTTAAAAATAAATGTGCTTTTATATTGAAGAAATAAAAATCCAAACAAGCAAGAAATGTAGCTCAAAAGGATACGTGACAGACTTAAAGACTTAACATATATTAAACAACTTGATAGCAAGTGTGTACCTGAGAATACATAATGAAACTAGGAATATTTAATTTCTAAAGCCATGCTTCTGAATCTCAGCCATGGTTTTCAGTGTGAGGAGCGCCAGTGTAAATGTTATAATATCTAACTCTAGTATCTTCTTAGTTAAAGATACTATAGCATCTTATCTATAAAATAGAAAAAATTCCTCTCTCTTCATGTCTTAGGCATTGTTGAAGGATGAAATAATTCCTGTCAGCCCTGGTAAGAACGTTAGAGGTTGCCTATGCATGTGGTAGAGATAGATAAGATCATCTAAGAATTTCAGATATATATATGTCCTAAAAATGTCCCTGATTATATTTCACCATTAAGCYTCATTTCTGAACAGGCACTGTAGGGAGTGGTGTGAATCTATCTGTACTTCTTTCTCCTCAAACATAAAAGATTTAACAAATACATATTTAATGCTTGGCTAAATKCTTAAATGAAGCAATCACTATTATACCTATTTCATACCGGGGCATGAAATGTGCAACTGTTTAGTCACAGGTGAAATTCAGTTACAGACCTGGGAGCAAAATCCAGTGTCCTGGTTGTATTTCCTTTGCTCCAGGTGTAGAAAATATTTCTACAGTAATTTATATCCAATCCATTCTGAATTGTCATTAAAGGAAATTAAGACAAAAGTGTCTTTTTTTTTTTTTTCTTTTAATTGAAAATAAGAAAAAGGTGATTGTACATCTGTTTCAGGAGGTGAAATTTGGTCATATCTGTCCAAAACAGGGCCAAGAGACCATGAAGCCTCTTAGTGTTACGCTTGAATTAATAAAAGAAAGAATGAAATTAACTTGTCAAAGAAAAGAAAAACACAAGGTTATTTTTCTTTCTGGTATAGGGAAAGAGCTCTATTTTCATCTCTTTAGTTCTTAAATAAATACTCCCTTCTGAGGAGCACATGATATCCATTTTGTATTGAAAATGTAACCACTAGAGGGTATCTGTTCAAAGTCACTGCACACAATATCCCGGGATTTCAGCAATGCCAAAGAGACAGACAAATCTTGCATTCAGATACGCTAAGTTAGGTGAGGGTGGAAAATAATTGTCACTGCCTCGACTGGTTATCCTCTTCATATATCCTTCTGCAAATTCTTGACTGCCTTGCCAAAATGAAATTGTCCCTGCAATAAGAAAAATTAATGATTTCACTATAAAAGTGCATTATAATTATTGATATGTATTGATTCTATTGTGCTGTATTGTTTAACATCACGGTGAAGGGTTGAGCACAATTTCCTACATTTCTGAGTTAACCCTTTATACATCTGTAGTGATAACCAGTCATGCCATATTACTTTTACCCTGAGATTTAAGTTATTAAATGGCCAGAGTTACTACCAACATCAAATAAATACACAGTAAATTGAATCTGTCAGATATTTTCTACTTCTCACGTGCACTTTGATTCTGATTTTGAGACCCTGATTGGATTAGTTTTCAGCAAACAGGAGAATCTGTGAATGATTGGAAAAATGAAACTTTCATGATGATTTGGAACCTATCCCCCATCAAATAAATAGAATGGCACAATATATGCATTCTCTACAATTTGAAGTCTGTGGCTTTTTTAACAGGAAAGCATGCGCCTAAATTCTGCTAATCACTATCCCAGCTTCCTCAGATAAAAAAAAAAAAATACAATAATGTTATCTAATTAATTTACAGGATTTATCTACTTAACAGGATGGTATGATAATACCACATAATACCACACAATAGAGTATTTTCATCTCTTGAAGATACTGTCTGTTAGAAAGCCATATAGTATCCTAGGTTCTTTGACAAAAAAGCATCTGAGGGACTGCTGTGACTTTCTTTGTTTTCTGTCCATCTTTGGTGACTCAGCTCAAATGATRTAACATCTATTTGTAGATAAGTGAGCGCAGCTTCTAGTACAGGCATAGATCAAAGCTTAGACTCGAGTGAAAGGATTTATCCATGGTCAGGTTGTAAACTGGGAGCCTAAGTCACCTGAGCTGCCCTACAATTTGTAGTGACTTGGAGAATCTCTCCTGGCCAAACACAGTTCTGAAGAATCTTGATCTGTAAGCACAGTTTTCTTCCTGGCACGCTCCACAGCAAACTCCTGTTTTGACCTCTGTGCTGCAGAGGRGATTTGGTAGAAAACAAATCCCAAATTCTTTGTCTGTGGGACGCCTGAGYGCTTTCATTTCAACGACATTTCTTGTGACTACTTAGTGACATTCAAGTAATGAAGCTGCTGTGCTTTGTTTCAATATTACATGACAGTAAATCTTTGGCCTCACTGAAGCTRAACTATCTGAATCCAAGACCTTTCACTACCCAAACTTGATCAGGGTTATTTAATCTTTTGTTGCTTTATTACCTAAAATTACTTGGCTTAAAGTAGAACAAAAAAATTGACAGATCAGCATAAAGCTCATAGTGAGAAGACACCAAAATTTATCAGCCACGTGCTTTATTTTTTTAAATCTAAAAGCCATTGCCTCTGTTTCCTAATTATAATCAGCCACAATTGATTTTTAAAAAGAAGCATTGTGCAAATAATCATGTGAGACAAATGAACTGTRCCAAGACCTGGATCCAGTCTTATCAAATTCTTTTATTTGATATAAAATAACATAATTAGGATCAGGTGCATCCTGAGATGGGCTTTTGTCTCTGCCAGCCCTTGATGCTTCCTTTGGGTGACTGTTATAAATACTGATTTAATRCATGCTGAGCATTACGGAAAGAAGATTATTTAGGAAACTGGAATAGTAGTTGGTATTAGGTACATTGAAGTTAAAAAGGGCTTACAGCCAATGAGACAGAGCTGTTTTAGCCTTGGATTGAATAGAAACCATAACCAAAATTAAAGACTTAGTAATAATGCATAAAGTTAAGAAAAAGACTAAAGAATAAATTAAGAGTACATTTTGTTTAGTATACTAATATCATACTTGAAACATGGAATAAAAGACAGGGTTCAAGACTAATCTTTGTGCTGTTGCACATATAKATCAACGTTGCACATATATCACAAAACAGAACAGGAAACAGAAAATACTCTAAATCATTAGTGTAAAAAACAGCATGTTTTAAAAAAATTGTGGTTAAGACAGTCATTAAAATCTTCAAGCTCCAGTTAAGTCACTGCAAACTTTGTCCCCTTGAGTACTCTGAACAATCTAAAGAATTCATTTTGTTGCCTATGAGACCTGAGCTTTTTAGAAAATGCAACCATTGACCTCAAAGGCAYTTAACTGAATGAAGCAACAAATTAAGCAACAGTTAAGTTAGAAAATCATGATGGTTTACCAAAGATGCMCAGAAAAATGTTTTAGCTGCAAGAAGACTTGTTAAACAATGATTGTAGAACAGAAAAATATATAGATAACTTCTCATTCCTCATATTCTAACTTCTTCATAGCTGACTTCTGAAAATACAGATCAAGGTCTAGTAATCAGTGACATGCAAATGAAGAACGATTAAGTAGAAGCACATTTGCCCTTCAGATTGCTGTCACTGACTCAACAAAACTTAACTATAAACCCTTCCTTKTAATGTAGCCTAATTGCAGTCTGTTTGCTTAGTGTTTCATGAGGGTTTATCACCTCTTTTCAAAASAGTTGCAGAGGTCTTTGGTGCATTCTTCGTCTTTACTAAGAAGGGTTCCAGTCTTTCCTTTGTCTTTCTGTAATAAAGAAGAAAAAGAAAATTAAGCGTTTATTATTTTACAACAGGACATTAACAACCTCCAAGAACATGAGAGAGGAGAGTGAAGTGAAATTGAGTGAAGGAAAATTTAGTTTGAGTATCAGGATACAATTACTATAATTGAAATTTATGCCTCTGGAAAAATTTCCCAGGGGGCCCAATACAAATAATGCGAAACTCATTTGAGTTATTTGTGGCTGGACTAAACCAGATGACCTAATAGCCATTCATCTCAAATATATGTGACTTTATGAAGCTGCATTGCACGGCCTTTAAAACTAAGTATATCAATGGCATCTTTATTCAACACCCTTGTTCTCAAAACACCAAACTGATAAAGAGGAAATATCTCATCTATCAATGAAACACAGCAACAATTCAGTACTGAACAGATCTACATAATTTTTGAACAAGACTTTCTGTCAGTCTTTTATTCTTTCTATTAAATTTTTCCATGTTTTCTCCCTAACTTCCCAATCAGAAAAATAGTTTCAAAAGGCATAGTTGATACTTTGTGTTCAACATTTGCTGTACTCCAGTTAATCAGATTCATATTTCCATTAAAAACCTATAATTATATCCTATCTAATTTTGACTGCAGTTTTCTATTGAAATTTCACCCTGTTTTTGTTCAAACTCAGTTATTGACATTCTCTGAGACTTTTGTATTTTCTAACTGAGGTGCATTGAATGGRTTATTGTTTATGATTGTAATTTTCTCWGCCCAGGATGTGATTGGTTTTGTGACCCACATTCTAGTTACAAGCTGGAATTACCATGGTTTGTCCTCCTGCTAATTTATTTCTGCATTTCATATGATAAGATAAATTAGCCTCACATGTGATTAATTAACTTGGTATAATGTAAGTTTATTACRCAAGCATCTTGGATAGAATGTGCAATATATTTTTACACCATTTGTGTTGCATGGAGGCAGAACATATCACCTGCACCATTCACTTGTTTTCCTGAAAACACCTGTTTTCTTGAAGTCACCATTCTTCTGGTGGTATTTCCATATCCAGACTATCTAAGGTCCTATTTTGGTCTGTTTAACCTCAGATTGCTATCCAATATAATGAAAATCAAATTCTCAAGGGCTCTATCCAGACTCATGTCCATATCATGTAATTAACTAACAATTACACTGTAGAAGGTATTATTATTATTAAAGCTGACCTTCCAGTTATGTCAATRAACATCCTGTAGACAGTTTTCTGTRCTGCAGGTAATGCAGCTGAAAATGTACAGATCTACATGGACTCCTCTCTAGTGTTTGATTACGTGTTTTCTGGCAGTTCTTTTATAATTGCTGCTTTAAATGGGTTTTTTTACACTTGAAAAGTCATTACAGTTTTGTCAGGAAGGGATATCTAAGCATATCTGCCTGCCTATCTGCACTAGAAAATTGCTGCGTAATTCAACAATATTTACTCCTGAAAGATTTTGAAGCATTTTAAAGCTAGAAACATTTTATTAAAAATGCATTTTTAAAGCAGAGGAGAAATCTGTTAAAAAGCACCTCAGCTATTTGAATGGGTTTTATTACCAATTTTCCCAGCACTTCAATTACAGACTGGTGCTATCAAGCACCAGGAAAATAGGTTGGATGCAACACATATTTTGTAGCCATATGTACTCATATACTTTTCAAATGAAACTAAGAATATTCTGGACTAACTGAATATTCATTATCATAACATGTTTGTCTACTCAGACATGTAAAAAATACTTATGAGTAGGAGTTAAAAATGTGAACAACATTGTACTTGATCTGCTCCTGTAAAATTCACTGGATGTTTCAGTATTGATTTCAGGGCAATCAGAGACCTACACTTCATCCTTTAGAAAATCCCACCTTACCCATGTGATTTTTTTCTCTACTTTCAAATATTTTATTTTTCTAATGTGTGGTGTATCCCAA